TTTCATGAAGCTGTTGCATGTTCAACGTGAAGTATACAACATTTTCCTGTAATAAACCTTATGACTGCCATAGAAGAAGTGACTTTGGTGTGAGGGTATGGAGTGTGTATCTTCATCAGAGAAATACAATTAGGAAGATATAAAGAAGATTAATGTTGTTTATAAAAGTGAATTAATCCTAAATTCTGTTGTTTATCATACAAATGTGTATAATATATTTTGTAGAATAACCCCCCAAATAAAAACATGTAAATTGGTTGGTAGTCTTGTTATTATATGCAGCTTTCTTTTTGGACTGCTCTTTTAAAATTCTTTAATAGTACTCTGTGTTCTAGGAGAATGGTGCCTAAATGCAAATGAATTTGTTCCTGAGCAGTAACTGGGTAAGAGGACTCGTGTTACTGTTATTTTTTTATGTTCTTTTTATACCTGTGTAGTGTGTAAAATATGGCATGCTGTACTCACAGCTTGTTTATTTTTGTAGGGTTGACCTGACAACCATTTCATCATGCAAGAATCAGTTAGTAAGATCTGCGCAGACTTCTTCCTAAGGGGAAACATGTCTGAGATTGACTATGAGAAGTTAGCTGAAATAGGTAAATATGTTTTATTATACTTCAAATGACATCTGTGTAGAGTTACAGGTGATTTAATAGAGCATCTTCAGTAAGTGAGAGGCTTCACTGGCATTTTGTAATGCTTCTTGGAGCAATCCTGTATGAGTTACAGCCACTGTACTAATAGGTACCCTATTAAAGCCATTAGGGTTGAAGGTTAGTTTAATACATGCTTCTCTTATGAATTATTGTTAAATGTTCCCAGTGCAATTCTAGGCTGTTGGAATATCACCATCATCACATATTGTGGCACAAATGGGAGTCATTACTCCAAAGAGACACGTATTGAATGAGCACAGTGATTGCTGTATTGCGTGTTATCTCCAAAGATGTTAGTCGACCTGAGCAATATGACCATGGCATTTGACCATGATCTTTCATTTTGAAGATCAGCATTATGTTTTTTTTCCACTGAGATTTTGAGGTTGTCAGGCTGAACTCCAGAGCAAGTGTCTTTCAGGTTTTTTTGTTTGTTTGTTTTTCCCCCTCTGCCTCAGTCTCCCTGACCATCCATTTAGCTCCGATTTCTCCATGTCATGACTTTCAACTGCAGCTGGCCAGCTTTCTATTCTTAAGGCGTGATTCAAAACCCATGGAAAGCAATTTTCCTCTCAGCCTTGGCAAGCTCTGGATCAGACCTTTTGTGGTGTCTCCCAGCAAGGGTTGAACAGCAGTAGCAGTGTGATTGGTAACAGATGATTCCCTGCTATGGCTCATGAAGCAGGACAATAAACTCCTATCATTTGCAGGAGAAAAATGGAGCTCAGGTCTTCCTCAGTTTGGAACAATTAATCTTCTTTTTTATTTGTGTTTATTTGGAAATGTCTCTTGAGATACAGTCCTCTTGTTCATGTATGGGGAGAAAACTAAGGGAAAGAAAAAGAATAAACAAAGAATTATTTACTAGGTTAGAGTTAACTAGCTTTTCAAGTAATTTGTGATTACTGCTGGGACTGCTTTAGTCCCTGTGAATAACTGCAGTACAAATGGTCATGGATATTTTGCTTCTCTAGTTCTTTGCCATTTTTCAAAGCCAGATAGCTGTCTGTACTTGGTTACAAATCCTGCTTTTTGGAAGCCTATTACTATATGTAATAAAAAATATATTTACAGGAGGAATTGGCATCCACCTCTCTGTACTAAAGGCTGTAGTTGGAATATTAGTTGCTTCTGTTTTTAACTTTAATATACATTTCACTTTTAATAAGGCTTGTTCAGTTTCAGTGGATCCTGGTACATAGTTTCTGTTTCCCACTTCACATTCCCACCCAGTCACATTCTCTATTTTCTTTGCAAGTTTTTGGTACTTAGGGTGGTTACAGTGCTCAGACATGAAAACTTACTTAACAAAGCAGCACTTTTGTTTTTTGGCGTTTTAATGTAACTTCAAATATATAAATAGAGGGGGGAAATGGTGAAATTCAGGTATTGGGTTTTCTATTTGTATTGTTCATTTGTATTGTTCATTTTGTATTACTTGTATTGTTCATTTTGGCTTTGGGGAAAAAATAATTCTTTAAAAGGAAAGAATACTTTTCCAGTTGAGGTTAGTGTAGCTCTTTATATATGATACACTTTTAAATGGTAGAATACACTTTTAAATGGTAGAATGATACAGATTTTGGAGACAATAAAAAAAATTAAGTTTTTGTGTATGTGGAGAACTCTAATGGTATATTTCTAAACACAGGTTTCTTTTTTTTTTTTCCTGAGACTAATAGGACTTTTGCTTTATTTTCTGAAGAAGCTTTGATTTGAATTTAAACATAAATAAATTTAAGAAAAAATATAATTTGTGACTGCTCTTTCTCTTTGAGAAGCCCAGCCATTGGTTACAATCTTCATCCTTTTGAAATACAGTTTTGGTACTAACCATGTTAAAACCAAAAATGAGACAAGATTTCATATAACCGTTTATAGAATAGAAAGATACTGGGAAACTGAGTTTAAAGCATACAAAAATATTTACTGAGAGTTTTTTCTCTGACATGTATTAGCTACTGGTACATAAATCTGGCTGAAATCAATACCTAATATATTCTGTCTGCCCTAGTGTATCTTTGGTGGTGGTTAAGGCATATAAAATGATCAGAAGGCAAAACATTCTTGAAGGACTTAAAATTAAGTGGCACTAATAGTGTTATAGATAAACCTGCTGATTCCACCTTATTAAAACTTGTATGATAAAAGAGATGGATGATGTACAGGGTGTGGTGAATTTCCCCCTCTGCTCTGCTCTTGTGAGACCCCACCTGGAACCCCAGCACAAGAAGGGCATGGACATATTAGACCAGGTCCAGAGGAGGGTCATGAAGATGGAGCACCTCTCTGATGAAGAGGGGATGAGGGAGTTGGAGTTGAGAAGAGAAGAGAGCTGGAGAAGAGAAGGCTCCAGGGAGACCTTATAGCAGCCTTCCAGTACTTAAAGGGGGCCTACAGGAAAGCTGGGGAAAGACTCTGTTAGGGAGTGTAGTGATAGAACAAGGGGGAATGGTTTAGAACTAAAAGAGGGAAGACTTAGATCAGATATAAGGAGGAAATTCTTTACTCAGAGGGTGGTGAGGCACCGGAACATGTTGCCCAGAGAAGTTGTGAATGTCCTATCCCATGCTCGAGATGTTTAAAGCCATGTTGGATGAGGCTTTGGGCAACCTGGTCTAGAGCAACATGTCCATGCCCATGGTGTGTGGGGGGGATGGAATTAGATGGTCTTTAAGGCCCCTTCCAGCCCAAGCCATTCTATGATTCTGTTTTCTTCTCTTAAGCCACCAAGACACTTGTGTGTTGATGGGTTAATATAATGTTTATTCTAGTCATAGAATCATAGACTATCCTGAGTTGGAAGGCACCCACAAGGATCATGGAGTCCAACTCCTGGCTCTGCTCAGGACCACCCAAAAACCAGACCCTATGCCTGAGAGTGTTGTCCCAATGCTTCTTGAACTCCATCAGGCTCAGTGCTGTGACTACTGCCCTGGGGAGCCTGTCCCAGTGCCTCTGAGTGAAGAACCATTTCCTAACATCCAGCCTGACCATCCCCTGTCCCAGCTCCATGCTGTTCACTCAGGTCCTGTTGCTGTTCTCAGAGAGAAGAGCTCAGCGCCTGCCCCTCCGCTCCCCTCTTGAGGAAGCTGGAGGCTGCCATGAGGCCTCCCCTCAGCCTACTCTGATCTGGACAGAACAAAATGAACAACTTCAGCTGCTTCTCATACGTCCTCCCCTCTAGACTCTTCACCATCTTTGTAACCGTACTTTGGATACTCTCTAATAGTTTTATGTCCTTCTTATTATTGTGGTGCCCCAAAATGGAACACAGCACTCGAGGTGAGGCTGCACCAGTGCAGCACAGAGCAGGACAGTCATTTCCCTCTAACCCGCTAGCAACGTCATGCCCAATACACCCCAGGGTATGGTTGGCACTATTGTTGGCCCCTAGTCAGTTTCTAGGAAGCATTCACTTGGATAGTGTGGCAACCTTAGGGCCAGCAGTTATCCCAGAATCTGTGTTTATCTGGGGAGGTACTTAGGATCATCCCTTCTTGAACTGTACAACAGTTTGTAAAAAGTTGGGGGAAAAATTAACCAAACCTTCAAATAAGATTGATTGACTTTGTATTCTTAATTTTAGTGCAAAGTAGATTTTAACTTGAGGATCTAGTCCAGAATCTATTAAAGGCGGGGGGGGGGGGGGGGGGGGGGGGGGGGGAGAGAAATATGTCTGTTGATTTCATTGGGCTTTTGAGATGATCTTTTGAGCAACTTAGCTTGGCCTCTAGCTGGACTATATGATGGATTGACATATGGCTACTTTGCTTATTGCAGGTTCTGAAGGTTGAAGGATTTAAAGAAAATGGTGGATTTTCACGCAGTTAAGGTGGAGGCTTTTTTGCACTTTGATACCTTTATGCAAGGTATCTTTTTGAAAGTCTGCTTTCAGACAGTGCACACATGGAGTAGTTGTCAACGTGCATTAGCATACTGAAACTTTGATTTCCCTGTTTGGACAACCTCGAAGTAAAAGACAAGAAGATGTAGATGGATACAACAAGCAGATTGTGAGAGTCTAGGAAATAATGAGACAACAGCAGTTGTGCATAGCAAGGTCACAGTATGCCAGCTGTCCAGTCATTGTCAAGATTTTTATGAGCACTGCAACAGATACTAACTTTAAGTAGGATGTGAAGGTAGCTTTGAGTAATTAGAAGATTGTTTTTTCCACACTGGAGAATGGAGAAAGAGCAAGAACCTGAACTGAAAATGAAACAAATGCTGATCAAGGCCTGTGTTTTTGATTGAGGAAAAATTCACCCCCTTAATAATTCATCAGAGGCAAAAGATTTTCTTTGTTCACTAGCACTTAAGCATTCTTGCTTGCTTTTTTAGAACTGCAGAAAGATGAAACAGAAGATGCACAGTCAGGACAAGAAAAAACATTTATGTCTCCACCATTTGAGGATACTGAGTTAAATATCAATCACCCCTACTATGATGTTGCAAGACATGGCATCATCCAATTAGCGGGTATGTTTGGAGAAAGACTCACATTATTAAACCCCTTATCATATTTTCCTCACTGTACTCCTCGATGTAATGCATTGTAATCATGCTAATACTTTCAGCCTTAATATTGAAAAGTAGTTGAATAGTAACATGATCCCTTGCTTTTCTAAAGGTGACATATGAGCCAAATATTTGAGCTTAATCTTGCTTTAAAATATAACCATAACAATATATTATAATCTAGGTCCTAACTGTGGCTGTAACAGAGCTGTACTTTATTTCAGTGATGAGTAATTTTGTTTTGTGAATAACCTTAAGTTATATTCACAACCTTAAGTTATTCACAAATATTGTGAATATCTGAAGTGTTGTGAAGCCACACACGTAATCATTTTTCTAGTCTGCTCAGGGAAGGGCATGCAGCTAAAGAGATATGGGTTACTGCATAAAAACTAATAAAAGGCAGAAAGGAAACTGTTGACATCAATGTTAACTACATTTATCACCTGACTTTATGTTGTGATATGGAGAGAAGTTATGGGTACATAACATATTTGAGTATTGGATCATTTGGTGTTTACAGTTATTTAGTTTTAAAACTTTCTGGCAATATACAGGACATGCAAGCACATTTATGAAATAAAAGCACCTCTTTAAAGTATACATTTTTTTTTTAATCCATTTGGTTTACTTAGGGAATTAACACACTTGTTAAGCTAATATTAATAACCAGGGTACTGAACTAAAAAAAAAATACGATAAGAAATAAAATTTTTTAACACTGCTCATTGTAATGAAGTTTAAGATTGCTCAATATTACACACTTTTTGCGCTTCATACTTTAGTGGGCATGATGGGCCTGTGGTTTATCTGGAAAATGATGAACTCAGGTTATAGGTATTCACCTTCCTGAATTTGAGCCATAAACAGAATGTCATCCAGATGAGTATGACCTTCAGCTGAACCAGTCCTCTGAAGAAGTTTGATTGAATAGGGTAGGAAAAACTGTTGTAGTTTGACTTCTGACTGTAGTGGAATGAGAATTGTACCCATACTAATGTCTTCTTGAAGCTAGTTATGCACAGGATGATAATTACTTTTTACCTTTATAAAAACTAACACCCCAACATAAGATTCCTATCAATAAACAAGGGAATAACATCCACACTCTTGTGAGTAAAAAGCTACTGCCTACTAGACCAGTAGGATGTTTCTTGCTCAAGCACCAGTTTGGGATGGAGGAAATACCAGGAGTTATTAATGAAAACATTGAAATCAAACTGACAAAGTGTGAAATAGTGTGTTAACAGACACACTGGATACTCCAGAGTCACTCTAAGAACTTCTTCCATCTGCTTTATTAGGCAGTGCTACTGAAAGAGTTCTCTTTTAGAGCATTATTAAGAGGTTTTTTTCTCCTTCTAGTATACTCAAGATCCAGTTGTGGATGGGCCACATATTTACTGCTTCAGCTTTAGTCATGCACAACTATTTAGTAAACATTTATTGTTAGTCCTCATTTTTCATTCAGTCAAAGCTGCCCTAGAAGTCAGAAGCACTTTGTATTTGTCTGGTTTAGTGGTGGTAATTCTAAAGGGTCCTTTTGTGTTTATCTTGCTGGGAGGAATCATTATGATTTTTACAGCTATGGGCAGACATGCCTGATGATGAGCTGAAACCCCTGGGTCTGCATTTTGAAAACTTTTGCTTTCTCTATCCCTTTGTACTGGAGGGGAAGGGAACAAGTTGGCAGTCCTAGTAATCTCTGCTTGACTGACCAATAAGACATTCCCAGCTCATTTTAAAAAGTGAGTAAGTAAAAGTTCACTTATTGCCTAGGCAAACAAAAAACACAACTTCCATAGTTGCAGACTGACACTACCATTTGACTTGGAAAAGTTGAAATGGTGGGGGAACTCAAAAAAGGGCTAAGTTTTAGGTGAGATGGTGAAATATACTGGAACAGCTCCTTTTAAAAATCATCACTTTTACTGTTGGTGAAACGGAGTACATGTGGTGGGGACAGAGTGATAAACAACCTGTCCATTCCAGATCAGTCTCAACTGCCTTCATTTTATGTGTATGCCTTTGCCTTATTCCTGTATTAGAAAATGGGAATGTGCTTAAGTGTAGTTGAGTGAAAACAATAGTGGTTTTTAAAGAGACCTCCTGGTAGTGGTAGCATTCGTTGATTCTTCTTGGAACTTCCTTCATATCAGTGTATGCTTGGAGTACAATCCAAACATTAGGTATGCTCCTGGTATAAATTTGCTGAAGTAAGTGGGGGTATTCACAAGATGAATCTTGGCTGAAACACTGGATTTTTTATGTTTTTCATCTTAATATTGTGGTCTTTCGTAGGGAAAACATGCCCCCTAGCCTTTGTCTAAGCTTGGAAAAAAGTGACTGTAGCTGCCATTTCGGTCAGAAAAATTTGATGGGATTTTGCAAGTCTACTGGTCAATTTAAATGCAAAGCACAAGCCAGGAACTGTGCTTCAGAATGCAGTATATGTGCATGTAAAATAATTCTGATAGTAGAGTATAAGATGGGAACACAGAGGTGTGCATATGCATGCAGAAACGTGTAGGAGGTAAAATACCATCCAAAGACATGCTTCACCTCCACAAAAGGAGACCTCCCTATCCCCTCTGTGAACTGGAGTGGAGTCAGGTTTGAATGCTTTCTAGATTTACATTCAAGTGAGGAAAGGATGAGCTCTTCAGATCTCCTTCCATCTTGCAAGACGCCCATCCCTTTTGAAACAAATCATTTTAAAATGATTTATACTTGGTTATTATGATTTTAATAATCTCTTTGAAAAAGAAAAAGTGTAATTTCAGTGTTTGGAATGGCTGTTTTAAAGCAATTTTAAAAGCTGTTCCTTCCGTTTAAATTCTGTCATTGAAAGACAATGAGCTGTATTGTTTGAAGTGATTGAAGAAAAAAAAGAAAGAATTCAGGTGAAAATATTTGCAGTGATTTACCCATCTCTTACAATGATCTAATTTCCAAGTTATTAAAAAAAATTAGATTCCTCTTCGCTTTTTGTAAATTGACTAGTACGTGCTTTCTGTAACAATAAGCTTTACTATGTGCAAAGGAGATATCTGAGTTGTAGTTATACAGTATGAAACAAATAAAAACAGGGAACATTTTTAAAAGGTGTAAGCTTTAATTATTTTTTATTAATTACATTGGTTTATCTCATTAACACCGAAGTGCAGCTGACTATTCTAAGCACATGTAAATGGAACAGTTCTTCAGTGCTGGTTCTTTTTATTTCCATCTTGAATGAGAAATTTCAATCTGTTGCCTAAAAAGAACGTAGAGTTTTTTTTTTGTGGCAAACAGGAAGGGACATATAAGCATATAAGATGTACCAAACTTTCCAGTTTTCTATGGTTTGCTTCTATAATGTCATTGCTGATAACTTTACATAGTACCTTTTTTTTTTTTTTTACTGTGTGATGATTTTGAATGAGTCTGTCCCCAATATTTATGCTTTCATTAACTACCAGTTACATCTTCTTATGTGTTTGATTAAACTTTTTAATGGAAGCAAAGTGTATTATTGTTTTAACGCTGTATTTTGCTTATCATTTTTTTTCTGCTTTTCTGGTTATATTTAAAGATTTGAAATGTTGGTTCTTTGGGAGAGACTGACTGTATTTTTCTTCGAGCTTCATTTCATGCACATTTACGATTTTAGACTTGTGCATTAGAAACTGATTAAAATTGTGCTACGTGGATCAGGCTATGAAAGATAATGGTAATGAAGTTTTTTAATGGTAATAACGTTCAGGCCATATCATTGACAGCTTTGCCGCTTCTTGCAATACTTTCAAGAGTAGATTTGTAGTATATAAATTGCAGTGCAATAAGAAAGAACTGTGTTTAATACTTATCTTCTTAAAAGAGAAAAAAAAATGGACAAAGAAAATCATATTTCCAAAGGGTATTCCTGAAATTGTTATCTTTGGCATTATATCATGAATAATACCCTTCTGGTGAAAACAAAAAATCAGCTGGAGAGACCTAAAACTTGGACACTTTCCGAAAAGGAAACTGAGGGTGTTGTAACTTATCTGCAGTACAAGAGAAAATGTTTATGTGGGCTTTGCACTTTAGGAAGCCTGTCATAACCATTTGGTTGTTGTCATTTTAAATACATGGGTTCAAATTCTTCAGGGAGGAATTGAATTTGGATTTTCCACATTGAGATGGTTTTTCTGTTGCTTCTTTCTCCAACTATTTCCTTCTCAGAATGTCAAATAAAACAAATCCTTTTCTCACTTTTGAACATCAGCCTGCAATACTGTCACTTTTAAAGACGGAGCAGAGTTAATTTCATCAAAATATATCCACATATTTTCTTGCTGAATCTGAGAAAACACAGAGAATCAGCCAGATGTACCTATATTTAGAGGTTAGGTTCAGGAATGACTAACTCACTGGTATTTCAGATAATTTTGCATGCTTTAAGAATAGCACAGACAAAATGTAAATAATTAATTACACCAAAAAACAATCTGTCCCTTTGCTTTCATCTAGCCTGAAGAAAATGTGCTGTGGCAAAGTATTTCTCTTAGTCAAAATTTAGAAGAAAAATTTTCCATGGAGGAATCTCTGCTGGGGAATATTTATTTTCCAAAGGGAATGTATAAAGGTTTTGATGTAGGAAATCTCTGAAATATTCACTTACAGTAGTTCCTTTTTAGGAATCATCCTGAGCATATACTTGATTTTAATTACAGTTTTAGCACTTTCCAGGGTTAGACAGGTACAGTGCAGGTGCCATCCTCTCACAGAAAATTGGTTTCTAAATAAATGGGTGAACATGAGGAGCATTCAGAGGGATGACTACAAAAAGAAAAGTTTGTGAAATCAAAATAGGTTGACTTGGCATTTAGAGTTGATGTCACTCCCAATATCTATTTGGGGAATCCAATCTCTGTCCTGAAGGATAAACAGCTGGCTCATTATCACAATTTTTGACCATCTTAAAGCTGAAGTATTAA